ATCTCTTCCTGTGTTAAAATGACTCTGGCATCAGTGTGTGACTTTTATTACTGAACCACTAAAGCACATTATATGACGGCGCCACCTTGTAGAGGGTCCATAGAGAAAATTCTACTTTTAAATTTCTTTTTATTCGGTTGTATTGTGTATTTACAAGGATGAATGTGTGTTTAATCAAATTATCACAGTGTAGGAATCAAATAACGTGCATATTGCACAAAGACTGAGTTTAGCTGCAGAGACATAGAGCTGTAGCAGTTATCATAATGCAAGGCTTCATCGCGGTTCAAAGAAAAGCCAGAACACATTACTGTAATTGAGATACAGATCATAGTCAGCATTAAGCATTCAGTGGCTATATGCATTGATGCTGGATATGACAGTAAGCTGGCAATTTTCAAGTATTGATGCAGTTAAAACTTTTCTTTCAGCGATTGTCAGCATCAGTTGCAAACAGGGAAATTGCTCCCTTAAGCTCTCCCATTGCAGCTGCAAAATAAAAGCAGAGGAGACGAGTGGCTGAGAGGCTGTAACTGACACTCAGAGGATCCCCGGTGGCCTCAGATGTCCTGCTCAAATGTCCCCAAGCAACACATTGAACCAATTCTTTTTAAGTTATTTTTTTGGCCTTTTTGCCTTTATTAGAGAGGACAGTCGTAAGAGAGACAGGAAAGTGGAGGAAGGGGTTGCAGCAAAGGGCTATGAGCAGGAATCAAACCCATGGCCGCTGCATCGGAAACTATAGCCTCTGAACGTGGGTCGGCAGCTCAACCAGGTGAGCTAAAGCGGCGGCCCGTATTGAACCGATTCTAAGGGAAAATGTGCTTCTGCTGACTCAGCACACCTTAACCACAATAGGAGAGACAAAAAGTAAACAGGAAACATAGATGTACATGCACACACTGCCACTTTGCTGGCGGCTCCAAACTGTGATGACATCCCAGATAGGATTATAAGGAGTACAAGCAAAGTCGCTGCCAAAGCTGCGTCGTCGCTTTTCTTTAGTTCAGTCACCTGCAGCTATTGAGCCTCACCTCTTCACAGATGTCTAATCCCACGTGACACGACTGTGAGCTGGTTATAATCGAAATTCTCCAAATGGAATCCGAATGAGTCACTTTGTTTTAGCACTTGGGTCGAGGTGTTTCTTGACCCCCCCTGCTTTCATTAAATTGGCTTTAAAGTTTGTTGATGTTAGGTGTTGATGCACCCCCTCTGGTGTAACTCTTTCATTTGATTGCATTCTTGCCAGACTGAGAGCCTTCTCCTTCAATATTTTTCAATTTGAGATGCAGCTGTAATTAAAAGTGAACTTTTGCTGGCATTCGTAGCACAGCTTTATGACTCATGCCATTTATTTGAAAAAATAAATAAATAAAAATGTAGGTGACAAGTAATTCGATGACTGTTCCAGCATAATAAGTTTTAAGTTGTCTATATTCAGCATTACACAAAAACAATGGAACTCAAGGAGGGAAAGAAAATAACTAGTTTTTGTGTTTGTGTTCCTGACTTGGATTTTAAAAACTGAACAAAAAGTCTATTTCAGAGACGGAATTAATTAATGACAGGGAATGGATGTCAGGACCGTTGAATCCCCCCAGATTAGACTTTTTCACAAGGAGGGGATAAGTATAAAAGCTCCTGGCAGCATGCCAGGCCTGCAGAAGATGTTTCTACATGCAGGTAGCGGCATCAAAAAAGAAGACGTGCTGGTTGTGTGCTCTGATTCCATAAATCTCCAAGCTGTGTACATTGTGACTTTTTTTTTTTGGTGAAAAAAGCAAGCTTTGACATGACTTTATCAAACATGTTGACATTCTTCCAGTTTCTGCTCTTATGTCCTTATCAGGATAAAAAGAATTTCCTTCAGCAGTGTTTGAGTCAACATGGCAGGGACTTCTGTTGTGTCTGCTGCCTTTTGTATTTGAGGAGACTAAAGAGAATCATTTTGATGGTTTTCCTTGTTATCATCTAATGTAATCTACCTCTGCAGTGTTCTGACAGTGACCACCCAGGTGCTGTGTGATTACAACACCCCTGGACGCTCTTGGCACTGAAAGCCTGTGTAGTGTTTCAGATGCTTCCAAAACTAAATCCAAGCGTTATTAAGGCCGTTTCACAGAGCAGCATGAGTGGCAGGCTAAACCTCAAAGGAATATTAAATTTGTCTGGGAGAAATGTAAAGCAGACATGTCTTATGAGTGAAAGAGGGGCTGCTACAAATACAGGGTTGGAACAAAAAACAGTTTGTTGTCATGCTGGTAGTTATAAGAAGACTCTTTATATCTGTATATTAAACATGAAGCCAGCAGCCAGTTCTTTTAGCTTAGCTTGGAGGAAACCTGTAACACGATTCCATAAATAAAGATTGTGATGTTCAGGTTTTAGTTTATTATGGAGCATTTTAGTCTTTAATTTGAAAGACACCGTGGATAGAAGAAATGCAGAAGAGTCAGTGGAATGACAGACAGCAGATACAGTTCAAAGCAGGGATCCACTTCTCAGGACATACGTATGATGTGAGCACTGATGGACTAGCTGTTTCCCTCCAGCAAAGCTAACCAACTCCAGCTTCATATTTAAAGAACAGACATGATAGGACAAGACTCGTGTTGATCTTCTTTTGGACCTGTCAGCAAAAAAAAAAAGACAACAAAGTCTTTTCCTCAAAGCATCAAACTATTTTTTGAACAATGTGGTCCTGAAATCGACCAGTTGGACTGGTCTGTTATGACACACTGTTAACTAAGAAAAAAAAAAAGAGATTTAAAGCATGCAAGAATAAATAACCATCCATCCATTATCTATACACCGCTTAATCCTCACTAGGGTCACAGGGGGCTGGAGCCTATCCCAGCTGACTCAGGGTGAAGGCAGGGGACACCCTGGACAGGTCACCAGTCTATCACAGGGCTACACTTAGAGACAGACAACCAAGCACACTCACATTCACACCTACGGACTATTTAGAATCACCCGAGTAAATATCATTTTGAGTAAATTTACTAATCTGATCATCACTGCTGGTAGGCTCTGGAGTTAAGTGTAGAGCAGCAGCAGCAAACGGGAAAACTGACATCACTGTAAGCCAGAGTGATGATCAGAGCTCATCCAAGGTCATGAGAATAAAGAGCTCCTCTGTTTGGATGCTGTTTGGAGTCTGGCCAGCGAAACAGCCAGCTGGGCACAGCTGAGATGAGGTATCCCAAATTATTCTCCTTCACTTCCTCAAAAACAAAATGTTCTGTTTCCATTCTCTCTCAGAAACTAGGGAACTTAAACTGAACTTAATAAGAAGAGGGGAGTAAAGAAGAAGAAGTGCAGACACACTGTAAGACAAACAGCAGAAGACCATTATCTGTCCAAACAAGAGCCAACATGTTCCAGCAATTTTATACATTCAGCAAACCATTCTTTTAGAGAAACCTTGTGAGCTGTCAAGAAAACTGTTGCAGAAATGATCCAATTTACCAGCTTATTAAAAGTACAAACTTTCTGAGGCCAAAATCTGCTTAATAAAACGTGAAAAGCTGAAGCACAAAGCCAGCTGCTTCTTTGAGGTATTTAAATCTGCACCGTCTGCCTGGGGATATATGATTTGCAGACAGTATGTTTTCTTTGAGGGCACCAGCACTTGGACGTGATCACTCGTTTTCTGTCATTAAACTTTCATTAGAGAGTTAAATAATTCATGTATTGGTCCAAAATTCAGTACAGTTTCTATGTTTTGCTAAATGGGCTTTAACCAATAATACAGCAAAGATGATATTTTAAATAATTAAATTAGTTCATATTATTATAATTAATCCTACAAGGACCGGTAATTTCCTGGAGTCTCTGCTGGTGTGAAGACTCAGCACGACTGCATTAAGTTTTACAGCCTTTTTTTATATATATACCTATTAAACAAACAATATATGTATATAATGTGTTAATTAGTGAGCTTTGAAGTTGCTGATTATGTTACCTTTGTCCTGCTGTTGCTCTGTGTTTTCCATCTTTGTGGATTTAAAGGATTTCATTCTGTGGATGTCAGTGTTTTTTACCTTTTACTTGACATCTGAGTGTACTTTTTTGCTTATATTAAACAAAACTACACAATTTCGCTCACTTGACCAAACCTTCAATTTCTTTACCTGCGACACAGCGTAATAATCTTCATCAACTTAACGCTGAGAGTGTGTGAGCTGACTGAGTAGGTGGTTGCTCGTAAAGGCTTGTTTGTCGAATTGGAGTGCAGCCTTTGACCTGCAGAAGTATCCACACTATTTCCACAGTGGTCCAGTTTCACTGAGCGACACTGAATGTAGGCAGAGCAGCGAGCTGTCGGTGAAGGTCCAGCTCCTAATGCTTGTCTGTGTGTGTGTGTGTGTGTGTGTGTGTGTTCAAACGAACTGGTCAAAAGCCATGTTTTGTCTGTGTGTGCGTTTTTTTTTTTTTTGTGAGAGAATACGCATAGACAAATGTGTGTAAAGAAAGTAAGATCTGCTGTGGAGCATGCTGGGAACTCCAGAGGTCCGTCTAACACAAACACACAGAGGCATGAACCCCACTGACGCACTAATGCGGGTGCAAAGGGGTTAAAACAACAGCCCACTGAATGCACGGCACGGACAGGAGAAAATAACTCACAAAGCCCCATCGACTCCATTTGTGAGAGCCCAAAGCACACTGTTTACGACAGCAGGAAAAGCAGACACCACAGTCGGGCTCAGATTTCTAAGGCACAGACTATTTCTGACTATGCTTTGACTGATACCCAGTAGACATGAGGAAAAAGTGCCTTTGCCAATGCATTCCTATTGATTATTTGTCACCTGAATAGCTACTTGATGGTGGCTTTGTCACTTAAGACAATATAAATGGTAAACGTCCTATATAATCACAGTAAACAAAAGAAGAAGAAGAAGCTAAGTGTTGCTGTCTTTACAACTCAAAGTCCGCTAAGGTAAAATGAAAAGCTAAGAGAAAAAATCACCCTCCATGACTGAAAATGGTGGTATTTGAGAGAAAAATGATTTTATTGATGTTCAGACTTCTTTGGCAATTACAAAAAGAAGGTACAAAAATAAATAAGTACAGTGAAAGTGTCGACAGATAAAAATGTTTCCGCAGTCAAATTAGAAACAAGAGTGCATATAAAAGAGAATAACACTGTGTGACTTCTCATCTTAGAGGTCTTCACTTGAAAATGTGCAGTCAGTGTGTCCACATGTTGCTCAAACACGTGTCTTTACATATAATGCTCATCATACTTAGCGATGTTGTACTGACTCCTATAAACATTAAATTATAGGCGAGGTGAAGCTTCGAGGCATCCTAGTGTGTCAAAAAGAAGTCTGTACACGAGGTATGCAAAATTTTTTTTAGTGCACTGTAAATTGCGTGACCCCAGTCGACCCGAGCAGATCTGGGTTGTGGCTTGTTAGCTGCACAAAGACGCTTTACTGAGCTCTAAATACTTACTGCCCACAGGCAGCACAGAAGAAGATGACTTATGATTTAGAGCATTCCATTCACACGAAATGGAAATTACACCTGCTGGAAGGCCTCAGGAGGAACACAAGCTATAACTACAGCATATTCTGTTCAGAGTGATAGCAGCCGGCTGGCCTCTGGGGAAGAAACAAATGAACAGTCAAAAGAAGGAAGTGAACCTAATTAGTTTCCATAAAAGTTCACTCGGAGAAGTCAGAGTCAGTTAAAATCTTTCCTAGTTTCCCACACAAACATGAGCTTCTCTCTTTGGTCAGTGTCAGTGAATGGCTTGCTTTAACGGAGTTATTCACACAACAATAAGTCTTGTGTTGGCAACAGGATATATGTTTTTATAAATATGTTCTTTTTCTTATTTTTCATACATGACAGCGTATGCTCTCATGCTATTCTGATTTAAGTGTAAAAATGGGCATAAATTACATCATATGTGTCAGTTTTGGACATTTTCTGATATTTTAGCTCTGACTACTTTGAAAATGTGAAGAGATAAAACCGCAGCACCTCAGTGTTAAAGGACAGTTTGACAGAACATGGTGAAGTTACAACCGTTCATCTACTCCGTCCACATGATTAGTGTGAACCTCGTCACGCGTTCATTGCAATGACTTTGATTCCGTGGGCATTGATGTATGTGAGGAGGACTCTGGCTCGCCTCTCGATGACGTCGATCAGCTTGTCGATGCCCTGACGGCCGCCCTGGCTCTCCCAGTACGTCTGGTCCAGGAACAGAGACTGGAGGAGTTTCTCCCTCAGCTTCCTGCTCCTCATCACAGACACGGCCTGCTCCGGAAACCTGCAGGGACGTAAAACAAATCGGTAGCGAGTCGGTACGTTGGAATTCAGGTGCTTCAGAGGCAGAGCTGTAGAATTAATCAGATTAGTTTAGGTTAAGTATCCTGCGGTATACCACCATCAGCAAAGTCAAACTAATATGTGTAACTATGGAGACAAAGCGCAGAAAACAACAACAGTAGGAGGACAACAGGAAGCAGATTTATTAGTCACCTACTTTACACAGTAAAAGCTCTAAGCTAAGTTCCCACTGGTACATTTGTTTGGCCATAGATCTAACAAACATGAGCTATAAAATCAGCTCAGCTCCACTTGTGGTGAACGGTTGCTAATAGTAACAGAGTGTTTAGCTACTGCCGGCTGTCTAACAGACTTGCTGAAATGCAAAACCCATAAACGTAGTTGCCGCAAAGACGTGACAAAATTAAATCAATTACATTTCGACATTTTCCCGAAACTTAACTACAGCTCGCCTTTTCACATTACCCAGCTTGAAATCAAAACTGCTGCTGTGGTTCTTTTCCATCTTTGCAGGAAGAAATTACAGCTACCCAATTACATATTCAGCAGGAAGTTTGTATATCTAACCTGGGTAAAATGATAGGTTATGCATAATTGCAGCACAAAATGTGCCACGATGCACCGGCTTTAAAGTGGGTAAAAGCTCCTCTCATACAAAGAAAATATCAACAAAGACGGAAAAGGAGTTCATCGTGTGAGGCTGTGCAGCAGCTGGTTGGAGCAGGCAGGGTTGGAGTTGGTTCTCAGCTTGGTCATATTTTCTTTTTCTTTTGAATGTGAGCGAGTGACACCTTTCCAACAAGAACAAGTCAAAGCTAACCAGGTTTAAGGATGACTGCTAGTCTATGGAGCCAGTGTGGCTGGTAGACAACTGTGAATAAACAATGGTAGAAGTTCTATTTGATTTACAGATACTAGTTTGTGGCTTGTTTTCAAAGATTTAATTGGGTTTTATTGCAGCCTTTAGACTCGTTTGACCTTGGAGATATATTCACGTAGGCAATCTGAAAAACAGAAACATGGGAAATGATGGTGTTGACTTTGAGGACAGCCGGGGAAGATCCATGGAGCAGTTGCTAAAGCACTAATTGAATAAGGTTAGAGTTTTAAGCAGCTGAGGTTTGTAAACACACTGCAATACTACATGATGGGCATGTTTGGAGTTTGCCTTTTATAAAATGTCAGTTTATTTGGCTTTGAAAAAGTAAAAGAGATTTTTTTTTAAAAAAACGCCTCTTGATGGACAACATTAAAAGAAGTCAGGTATTAATGGGTGATCTTGCGTCAACTCATAACAACTAAATTTAGCCTTTACATCTGATATGAATCCCAGAATAGAAGCTCCAGTTTTGCTGAGCATCACAAGGATGCGTGTTCAGGGAGTGTCCTTGCCAAACCACAGTTTCTCCGCTGTCTCCCCAGCGGTGTGACTCACTGATTTATTGATCAAAGGACGAAATGAACGCCATGTTTGTGCAGCGTGTGTTTACATATCCACAGACCTGTGAGGCATAAACAAAAAGAAGCACATTACAACGGTTTACTCTCGCCACCAGACTACCACGCATCGACTTTGCTGAACCACATCTAAATATTTACTTCCATTTTTTTGTAACACAGTCAGGTAAAAGTGGAGATCTCAAAAGGACGAAGCACGTTTTTAAAGGTCGTCGGGATTTGAAGGTTTTAAGAATGACAGTTTGTTGTCTTTAATAATGACGGATTCAGACTTGTGGTTGTTTATTGTTTTCCACAAAGTTCAGAGTTTTATAACAGATCTGGCAAAGACCCAACGCTGAGATTCCAATCTGCCTCGTCAGCTTCGCATGCTGGAATTTTTCGACCATGTTGTCACGAGGGGAGGATGAGAACGTCTGAGAAAGCTACAGAAAACAACTGAATCCTGGCTTGTTGAAGAAGAAAACAACCAACCCTCACCGTGGAACGTTTTTATCTTATCACTGAGCATTAATAAACAATCCAGTGGTGACCAGCGGTGCATTTTATCTTTCCAAGTCTGATAAATGTTTTTTTCTCTGAGTCTCACAAGATTAGGAGCAAATCCGAGCATACAAATGTCTCATGAATAAAAAAAACAAGTCAACAGCAATGTGTTCAAACAAATACATGTTGCTGTTGACTTTCACTTCAGCTTCTGACAATCCACAAAATCCAAGTACATCTTCATTACTCTACTGCAATCTATTGAATATATTAATTAAATGGAGCCATAACATCACAACTGGGACGCGAACCGGCGACCTTCTTGCTGCGAGGCAACAGTGCTACCAACTGCACCACCCTGCAGCACATAATAGATTTTTTATTTTTATTTTTTGTCAGTGTTGTCATTCAGACTCACTCCTTGATTCCCTCCAGCAGCCGGAAGTCCAAGTTGTCCTCATTGCGGTCGAAGAACCCCTCGTTGTTGGCGAAGACCAGGTGTCTGGGGTCGTGACCCCTGTGGATGATGTTTGCCAGTTGCATGCGGTTTTGGTCGCTACATCCAGCGCGGTGGCCCAGTTCAACGCACACGTCCTCCAGCCGAGGCCTGAAACCGCAGCAGCCGCGATCCAGACGGTTGTGAATCTAAAAAGACAGGTCGCATTCCTTCAGAAAAGCACTCGGTGTCGATGTCTTGAGAGCACAAGCACAGCTGGGGGTGGTATTTATGGAGTTTCAGACTGACATTTGTGGATTTATTCTCTCTTTTTTTTTCCATTTATTTGAAGACACTGGGGCTTTTTATCACCCTGGACAATATTGTTTTAGAATTGACTGCCTCCCTTTTACATATTTTCACAGGCTACACAATCATTTTATTACAAGATAAAGATAAGGGAAATGGTTTGGCAAAGCAAACATATCCAGCAGGTTGGTCTTCTTGGCAAAACTGCATTTATGTGAAAGATCAATTAAACCATCACACTGCTGAGTCCCATGAATGCACCCGGGATTATCTTAAGCTTATCAGGCAGCACCTCCTGTCTCTCTAACACTTATTTATACTCCCCCAGGAACGCCAACCAAACAACTACTACAACCCTCATTCATTCAGTCTTTGCTCTGTAAGCTTAATTGTGAGGTTTAAGATGGTGCTACTAAAGCGGGAGGATGGAGCATTTTCTTCATTTCAGATGGGAGTCCTGCCACTAACAGGCACCTTTTTAAAGAAACTTGGATCCACCAGAGCATTAAGTGAAAGCATACCTCTGTACCCCTAAACAAAACAAAACAATCTGTGAAAGTGTACTTAATGTTTTTGTTTGACTTTAATTGAGTATATAGGAGGATTCAGCAATACAGGTGTTCATTAGAAGAACTGCAGCAGGCTCTGTTCCCTTTCACAACACAGCCTGATGAGACAGTCGGGTCAGGATAAGATCGTTTCTGTCTGTGATATGAACAGATGTAATTTCTCTGTTATGCAGTTACCAACCAATTAGTGTAATGACTGCATTATGTTCAGTTCTTTGGCAAGATGTTTTATGTGCCCTGTGGAATCTGTTTCTCTAATTGCACAATATGCATTTTTCATCATTCATTTATTCTTTTTATGCTTTGAAGACTAAAACACGAATGATTGTTCACCAAAGGTCAAAGCTATGGTATTCTAACCACAATAGGCAATTTATGAGCTACAAATTGGTTATTGAGGTAACTATTTTTGAGAAAACATTTAAAGATTTCTCTCCCCACTGCATCAGGATGAATTAAAGAATTCACAGGAGACGTGGCCACAGTGCCAAAATCTGATGTGAGAGGCCTCCCACACAGGAAACAAGACATCTATGCAGCCAAAGGACAAAACCTCAGAGAATATTTAGCCTGTTTTTCAGTAATAACAGCTGTTGAGGCATATTGTTGCTGTCAGACAAAAGCAAGTTTTACAAAAGCATTTTTGGAATTCAGATAAGGCTAGGGAGGCTTCAGCAGCACAAAAGCAAACAGAGGAAAATCTGCTGCCATGTTTGTCTGCACTCACAGAAATATGGATCAAATCACAGTGAGCTGTGATTTTTCTGACTGCCTTTGTTACCTGTAACAAGAAGTCAAACAGAGCTAGTTTGCTCCACTCATAGTGGTGAATTGTGGAGCAGCCAGAGTCGGGCTTTGGGCTGATGTTTTTATGCCAACATCTCTGTTTCAGGGAGCTCTGGTACTCCCCCCATGTCAACCTCACAGTGGGCCAGCCTGCAGCAAGGCCTTCTGGGTACAGAGATGCATCCCATGACACCACTGGACGGGACTGGCCATCTAAAAAAAAGGAAGGAAAGAGGGATCATGTGGTCAGTTCACACCAACTGTTCCATCTTAAACCACTTTCATCCTGGAAAAGCTAACTGCTTATCGACATGATGGATGAAACAACACCAACATTTATTACAACATTGTCTCACATGATGACGGGGGCACCGAATGCCAGAGATTACTGCAGATTTCACAACATGCAGTCTAAAACTGAGCCAAGATGTATTTTCTGGTTCTCTGCAGCATATTTATAAACACTTTAAACTAATAGAATGTAAAAAACATTCAAAGATATTTGTTATAGATGGAAAAATGGTGATGTAAGAAAGTGAGAAAAGAGGACATAGGCTTGCGGTCACCTGCTGTCTGTGCCCCTAAAATCTATTTTTATCCCTTTGAAGAAGTCATAATGTGCTGCCAGCCTTTGTGGCAAAGTAAAACTATGATTGTATTTCTTTGTGTAGCAATGACTATCTTGTAAATTCAGAATCCATTATTAAATATGTTAGCACATTCTTACTTTAACCTGTTCAGTAGATTTCCATAACCCTGAACAAAGTGTAAAATGTGTATTCCCTCAGTGTTATGCTTCTTGTACTATTGACATATGGGGATAGTGTTTATTGTACATTTTTGTCTTGAATACGACTGGACTGATTGTCCTCTAAGTACAAATGCTGACTCATGGTCTTGACCCTGCTGTTGCACTGTTCAAGTACATTTTCAGTGTCTTTCAATGTGATGACTGCTACACTAACTCACCAGTGGCATTAAGTGACTCAAGGATCAACGCAGTATATACAAATGCTTATGTGATTAATCTGCAGGTCACAGATAACCATTAGTGGCCCCATATGGCAAAGCTGCATGGATTTACTGCATCACGGTTAGTCATGTTTTGTCTCATTTTCCACAGAGGTGTACAGAAATGTGCATTTTGAATGCTGAGTGTCGACTGATAAGTTTTACTTAGCCTGAAGAATAAAGTGAGAAACTGTTGCCGTGAGACATAACCCTCCATCTTTTACCCGCAGTGAAAAAATAAGAAGAAAATAACAAGAAACTTTGCCCTCATGCTTCATGACCTACCGTGTAAAAAGCTGAACTTTCTGCTTACAGCTGGCAGTGTCCGATTAAGCCCCAGAACCCTGTCCAAATGGAAAGCAAAGACCTCCGTGTTCTCCACAGGGCTGTGGATGACTCCACACTGCCCTCCGCATACGTTGATCGTTTTTGTGTGCTTTTGGTTGGCCGGCGGAACGTTTGTCTCACCCTCAAATATCAGGAGTGATGGACTGTCTCCACGAGAGACTTCTTTCATGCGCAAAACTTTGCCATCCGCAAGAAAGCGCATGGTTTTCACGTCCTGTGCGCTGAACCACGGCGGTGCCATTTGGCTGTAAATTCGGATTGAACTAATCTGAGAGTCTGGTTCTGCATCTTTATGAGATTTCTGAGCTATATCCAGTGATTTGTAATCAACATCCCCGCTTTCTTTCCAGGACGTCCTGGGTGAAAAGTTGTGCTTAATTTGGCCGTTGTCCCGCTCCAAAGTGCCAAGTTTGTTCTGCGTAAAAGACAGATTGTCCGTCTTATTTCTTTTCACTTTTCTCCTCAGCTTTGGCCGGATTGTGCCTCGGATATGTGCTGGTTTGAGACGCTTAGACTTAAGCGTTATGTACACCACGTTGGACCGGGTCGGGACCACAGAGCTCGCACCGGTCTGCAAGTCAGCAGAGTCTGGCAGTGCACCGTTAGTCTCCAAATGATACAGTCCACGGGTGCGCCGGTTCTTGTCCTTATCAATCCTTCTGCCCCGGTGTTGCTGTGTGTATCCGACTTGTGAAACCACGAAAAACAAATAGACCACACATACGGTCGCGATGATCAAAGTTCTTTTTGAAAGAGGACACCTCCAAAAGTTGCTGGTCAATTTCAGAAAAGGGAAGCACAGCCAGTGAAAGCGAGACTTCCCCATTAGAACTCATGTCATTATCACGGGTGAGTGTCTTTTTTTTTTGCGCCAAACTCCAACTAGGGAGGAGCGCACAACTTCCGAAACTCATTTTGGAAGGGAGGATTTGTGGCCATCGAGCGCAGGGAGACAACTGCGCAGTGGATGGACAGGCTGGGAAACCACCCAACAACCCAAACGTGAAGCAACTTGAACCCTCCAGGACTTTTTTTCTTCTTCTTTAGGTGCATGCTTACTTTCAGGTGAAGTACCTTGATAAGCACTTCAGGGACACCTGATGGATGTTTTTGTTTGATTCAATTAATTCCTGAAATTCGTTGGACATCCCCCGAGAAAGCATGGGGTTTCAAATGTAATATTATGCCCCTAAAAACTTATCAAATTATAACATATAAAGGTTCCTGTAATGTTTTGTCCCTTGTAAATATTTCAGCCCAGTAAGGTACAAGCACATCTTCCAGATTTCACAGCGTTAAGACATTATAAGAGCTGTGAAAGATATTGAGGGCTTTATGGAAATGATCACATTTAACTACAGAGGTCAGAGGTGAGGAGGATCCCTGACACAGTCTTTAAATTAAACAATGTTTGACCTTTTAGGCCTAAAGACGATTTCCACATGTTTCAGGCGACACCTAGTGGTTCATTTCTCTCATTCTTAGTTGACTGAGTTCAAGCTGTCCACGCTGAGGAGAGACAATAGAAATGAACAGAATAAACTAGACAAGGGAAACAATTAACAGCAGGAAACCTACATTTCCCCACTACGAGGGAGATGTAGGCGGGCGCAGGAGCCACAGGATTTCCTGAAAACGGATTTATATATAGAGCTATTGTCTTTATTCTGTGTCCTTAAATACAGATAAGTGCCGTCTTCCTTGTCACGCCAGGCCAAAGAGTCATCAGACCTACACAGAGGCTCTTTTTTTTTATTATTATTATTTAGCTGCTTCACTAGACAGGCTTTGTAAAGTTATTTAATATGACTATAATTTTATACATCTAATATAGAGGCTACATATTCAAAGCGACATGGAATAAACCTTAATGAGTAACCCATCAAATCACTAATTTCAAACAGGTGTTTTCTGGTTGTGTGGTTCTTGTTGCTCCTCTTTGGGAGCCAGATTGAATAACTGGCAGCACCTGGCTGACCTTCTGTCCTCACCACTGCAGACACACATTGTGGCCCTTTCTCAGCCAAAGGAATAACATGCTTTTTTTAAGTTTTAACATGCTCCAAGCAAATTGCTCACCTTTGCTTTTATTTGCTGCCGCGTTATTGATGGTGAGCTGTCACAGAGCTGAGGGTACGTAATCTGTAATTAGTCTGTGATGGATATGTGGGGCTGCGTGAGGCTGCGGTTTGAAATTGACAATCTTGGACTTTTGTTTGGCTGTGAAGCCCATCCAGGTACCAAAGACGAGAATGTTTCCATCAGTAACTCAACCAATTACAGTCGTTTCGTGTACGGAATTGCTGCAAATGGGGTTGCTGTGTTTCTGTGTGGAAGCAGCTTTGTTCCTGTGAAAAGAATAGAGACAGGAGATGGTAAGCAAACAGCCCTTGTTCTTTTATTAAGATTCCTGATCACAGTTACTTCTTTTCACCTAAAGAAGTTAGATAAAGAAAATATACATGCAGTTGGAGCTAGACAATACAGAATGATAATATGGCTTGTGTTCTGGTTACAGGGATGTTCTTTCAGTGGGTAAACTCTGCAGCCATTTGGGCTGTATCAATGGTTGGAGACTTGATGCTTCACTCACCCAAATTCTACCCTTTAGCAATGCTGGGAGGTGTGACCTCGGCTACAGGTACTGTCTCATGAAAGCACAACTTCAAGCCCAAATCATTCTTTATTCTAGTGGCTGTTTGGTGTCTTAGCATCAAGTCTGATTCAAGTGTGTGGATGTTAAGACGCAGCAGATGGATTTAAAGCATCCAACTTAGAGAGTCCTTTTGCTGCAATCCATCTTAAAATGATGACGTTGGTCGTCCTATGTGAGAGAAATGTGGCCAATTTTAAGGACGCTGTCAGTGTGTCCCAATTTCACGCTACATTTTACCACTATGAAGAGCACTGCCTGCCCCACTACTAGATGTATGATTTTTTTTATTTTTTCCCCTCGTTTCCTTGGACGTGTCATTGTGGGACAGCACAAAAGATGGTGAATGGAGTGAAAATGAAATATTTCAATCTCCAGAATGTTGATAGAATATTTGGACATAGGTTAAAATGCAGTCATTTCCCTTGTTGCTGAGAGTTGGACTAGAAGATGGACAACATTCATGCCTGAACAACCTCTGAACACAGTTATTTATTATAACCTACACTGCAAACAGGTGATATTGCAGACGGAAATTTAGCATTTATCTGCTAATATGTGAATTGTGTTGATAGTCACATGGATAAAGGTAAACAGGAACTGATAGTTTGCTCTAGCATGTACAAGTTGCTAAATTTTCCATTCATGTGGTTCACAGGAAACATAGCAGTTGTTACTATCATTAAAGCGATTGGACTCGGCCTCGGCACTCTAATATGGGGTTCCTTTAGTTTGCTGATGGGCTGGGCCAGTTCTAGGTGAGTCGAATTAATGTGTGGTCGAGTACAGATGGGGAAAAATACACTTCCTGTCTCTGGATGACCTTGATTCTGTTGACGGCAACTTTGACAGGATCGTTCTGGTACATCAACAGAGTAAACACTGTTGTCTTGTGATAAAGATGCCACCAAATGTGATCAACTGCGTTTTCCAGCAAAGTCAAATGAAAGTGAATGTGACTGTCTCTCACAGATTTGGCTGGTTTGGGATTGATGCTCAGGAAGTTTCTTTGCCGATATTAAACTATTGTGGAGCTGGCTTGTGTCTGCTCAGGTAAGCTGTTAATCTGAAAGTAACGTCTCCCACCTTATTGCCAGTATCGTCTAATAGCTGCTTCAGATGCCAGAAAAACCAAGTCGTGGTTGTTTGTTGCTGTCATTTTGAGTTCCATTTTGGCTAATGGACTTTGTTTTGTTGTTTTTAATTCAGTGGTCTGATCTTTTTCTTTGTGAAAGTGAACGTGGAGCTACATCCCAATGCCGAATCAATTCCATTACTAATCGACGGAGTGAGTATGTCATCGACTGGATGCTGAGTTTATTTTTCTCGCCTCTTGTTGAGAAGTAATTTATTGTATCACGGCGAAAGCAGAGGAATTAACATTTTCTAATATTCTCTGAAAGTGTCCATTTCCATTCTCAAAGTGAGTTATGATAACTTTGTCCTGCTTTATGTACTCTGATGGTGTCGTTTGTTTGAAGACACATGCTGACTACAAACTAGGATGTTTTGTCTCCTTTTTTTTTTTTTTTTTTTTTGCAGAGAACAGATTCAAGCAGCAATGTACCAAGATCCTCTGAATTCTGGATAGATTCCATTGGACCAAAGACCAGGCGATTCATGTGAGCTTCACTCAGCAACAGTCACTGAGTTCTGTGTTTTTGCTGCTGAACTGTTGTTGCTAAAATTCTTATTAGAAATTTTCCACAAGGGCAGATCAAAGGTAAAATGATGTATTTTACATAAAGCCTCTTATTCATTCAATCGACATGTTTTGTCTCAAAGTGTTTCCTTTAATGAGATAAAACTTAATAATTAATCAGTTGCATCTGCAAAACAATCGTGTCAAAAACAGCAGCAGTGGTTCACACAGTCTTCCCAAACTGCTGTGAATAATTCTTATTGCTTTACATTCACCATCCGTTTATCTGCTTTGTGAAAAATGAACATCACATATTTAACATTCTGCTCTGTGGAAACATCAGTGAGATCTAAAATGCATCCTCTGTCCAGTTCTTCAGTCTATCCTGCCTTCTTTTCATCAGTGGTTGCCTGCTTGCTGTCGTGGTGGGTCTGCTGTACGGTTCCACCTTTGTACCCATCCTCTACATTGAGAACCATTCATTGTGTCAGGACAGCATGTACTATGGAGCCAGTCGTTATGGTATGATTTCAGCATTTGATTGCTCTCTCAATTTTTAGCGTTTTATGGAATGTTAATGTACTCAACTTGAAGAAACTATGGAAAAGATTTTTAAAACACCCATATTACTTGTAAGACGAGCTCCCACTGTGAATCTATGGATAACATTTCTGTCCAATATCTAAACCAATTCCTGTTTCTGTCTTCACAGACCTTGACTACATTTACGCACATAGCTGTGGCAGTTTTTTTACAAGCACAGTCTACTTTGCCATCTATTGTGCTGCCATGAAGAGCAAGCCCAGAATTTACTCAAGAGCCATCCTACCAGGTAGCACACCATTTCTTTAAAAAAAAAAACACTCCTCCTCCTCCTCAAGGTTGCAGTATAAAAATATATATCAACTGTCTTGCAATACAATATCCACTTGTAACTACTACAACATTGTTAAACTTTTTTTTTTTGTATATGTTAGGCATTGGTCATGCCTCATAAAAGTTGTGGGGGTTTTGTAACTGAGAAAAACCCGCAGCCAAAGTACTTTGTTACTTGTTGATAACTACAGATTAGTGGATGCAAAACATAACTGTGCACATGTAAACCCGTCCATCCACCCCAACCACCTCCTGCTGACTCAGCTGCAGGTCCTAATTGTTGTGCTTCATTGAGTCAAAACTTAACATTGTCTCTGGTATATTTCTGCTGTCCATAGAAAATTATTCAATTCCAATGATAGAGCTCACTAAGTCTGACTTTAATAAGTCATTGATGTGAAGCTGGAATATTTATGATGTATTTCCAGTTTATGCCACCCTGTACAATCAATCCCAGGCAGTCTTCAAACTGTGGATTGATTTTTTTATTTGATTTTTCATTTTCCCATTTGCTCGAGGCCACCACAGTTTCTAATAATAGCTCTGGTTTGACCCTCGCCAAGGCAGAAAGAATCAGCTGTTGTGGAGGAAATGTGGCAGCTTCCCTTGTGAAGCTGCATGTGCAATCACGTAGCGTGGCGTGTGAGTGTAGGTCTACACTTTGGCTCCCAGCAGGCTGGGTGGGTCACCATGTCAGTGTCTGCTCCGTTAGTAAAAATCGATGGAATGCGTCGGGGAGACACTCCTCATTTGAAGCTGTTTGAATGCGAGCATATAAAATTAATAGGCTGCACTTATCTCCAGGCACCTTTTTAATTGGTGTTTTTCTTCTTGAACAGACTAACCTGCATTGTGAACTCCTGCTCGTTGGCTTTGTATTCACAGCGTATTTTCACACAATTGTACTCGTGTCTCTTTTTGTTTATCAGGACTGTTGACTGGATTGATGAGGGCACTGGCCACATACTTCTGGTTCCTGGCCAATGACTACCTGAGCTCTGTAATTACCTTTCCTATTGTCACAGCGGTGAGTACAACACGTCCTGACACATAATCAAAATGAGCACCGTGTAAAAAAAGACCAGCACAGACAGGTTCAAATTAAAGATTCACACGCTGTTTGTTGTTGAAGTAGAACGCTTGCAGGGTAGTTTTACTCAAGGTTTTGTTTGCAGGTTTTCGTGATAGTTGATGCCTTCATCTTCAGCCTGATAAAACTGCAATCAGAACACCACGCTACATTTTTATCAAGAGTATTGCTACTGACATGTCTTCATGCCGATAGTTTGCTCGTGAGTTTGCGGCCTGATGATCGTTGAAAGGAATTAAGCAGTCTTGAAGCATTACTATTCATTCTCAGGGAACGTAGCAACTAAGCCATTATGGAGAATTATTTACAGCCTTTATTGATTATCTGTGAATGCAGAACGTGCGTGTTTGTAGAGCGTAACAGAATTAAACTGGCCTCAACTTCCATTTATCCTCATTTCCCTCGATTCTTGTAGTCACAGACGATGTCAGAATAAATAGTCCAGTCCAGCCACATTTGGCTCTTTGGGTTCAGTGTAGAATCAGGCTGTATCGCTCAAGCATTGTGTGCGATTTATAAACCTCTCCTTGGCAAAACCTTTAAAATACAATAGACTGGAAACTGATGGCAAAAAAAAGAACACAATTATAATCAGTGGTCTTCTCACAGGGCTACGGTCTGGTTGCAGGACTGTGGGGATCGTTGGTGTTCAGAGAGATTAAGGTGAGCAGCAAAACGACACTGATCAGTGTTAATGCTCGCTGTACTCTGTAAATGCATGTTTTTTTTTAAACATGACTTTAAGTTAAACTTCAGTCCAACAGAGGGCATTTATGATTTTAAAAAGTTTAACAGAGCACACTGTCTTCCTCCAGGGCTTATCCAACTGCTTCATCTTCTTCCTGGCGACATGCGTGGTGCTGGCCGGCTCCATAATGACTGCCTTCTCAAAGCTCTAGAGATGCAAAACGCTGTCATGTAAAGACATCATGTAGTTGTCATATTTTCTGTCACTGAGAAAATTGAAAAGTTTCCTTTTTAAAAAACTTTAGAGACCCTGTCTGAAATACAAAATCCACGGGAAGCTTAATCTAAAGCTTGGTAAGCTTAGGTAAACGTGAACATTTGGCGGCAGCGCCTCACAGGAACCTGTCGGAATGCTTTCTAGTTGACGTGTCAAAGACGTTTGCTGTTGGACTGTGTGCTTGTCTTTTAAAAAAAAATGTATTTGTTTACGCTTTCTGTACTTGTCCTTTCAGCAGTTCAGTTGCTGCAAACAAAAAGGCACTTTAAATGCATTGCTCTTGAGCTAGTTGAATTTATATTAATCAGATATTACTTTGACATTTGTTTGTATTGTTGCAATATTTAAAAAAATGTTTTCAAATGAGCTTGTGTCCAGTGTAAATAAACCCGTTTGTTCTGAGTTATGTGAACTGTTCAATTCAAAATGTCCTCTGTGAATGAGTGCAGGCTGCTGTTTAATGGGGTTCTAAATATACAACAGCTGGATGTGGCTGCATTGAGCCCTGTTCACACCAGAGGAGTGTAGGATGAAGCAAAATTAATGTTAGTGAAGCATGTTGAGCCTGAAGTCAGAGTTTTCAATGTCACACAGGCAGCTCTTTTTAAACCGGCTACCGTGGTCACTTATGCCGCACACCTAACTTGAGGCGGAGGTTTTGCTCAGAGCTTGGGATTTAGATCAGCTGTAAGACGCGCCACTCTTTAACCAATTCTTTCCCGACTGTTTTTTCTGAGTGACGCAGATTTTTACAGCTGAGAGAATGTTACATCAGGCAACTTGTTGAGTCCTCCATGCGTAATGCCAGCATTCCTCTTTTGCCTTATTTGCAAAAACAGTAGCAACAATTCCGTTGTAGGTTTTTTTAAAACCTTCATGACAACCTGTTTTATGACTGAAGGAGACAGAACACATCAGACAATTGTGTGTGTAAGAGTCAAACACCCCATATTAGAGACAGGCCCACAGAACCTGATGAAGAAAATCGAGGTTTCAAAGAAAGATGGCCTTCAGCTCTGACTTGGATTTTACTTTGTCGAAACCAGCTTACACAAGGAAAGCCTGGCTCTATCAATCCTGCTTCAATAGGTCTTTAGTAATTCAATAACAAGTGGACAGCTCAATCTACAGGTGTGAATGCCTCAGCCTTTAGACAATAAAAAGACATTTGACTAGTCCAAGAAGAAAAGCACAGGTGTTGCGCTTCTTGTGCTTTTGCTGCTGTAATGTCAAAGTATCCTATAACATGACGCCATTGTTACCATTTTTAACCTGTTCTTGTTCACTTCGCAGTTCTGAGATGAAAATAAACTAAACACAAGCAGTGAAATTTACCAGTGAAATAAATCCGATAGATGCTCCTAAATCAATACTATAGATCTTCTTCAAATAGAAAAATGAAAGATTAGTGACATTAGGATTAGGTCTGTAAATATCGTTAAACAAATTCTAACTATTGGAAACACTTCCTGAAGAGAAGTCTGAGGCTGCTTTATTTTCTTTGAATGTTTTTCATCATCCTAGTAACTGCTGCATTTCTTCTCCTCTTGTTGTTTACATACTATTTCCATTGTGCAAAAGTCAATCTGTTGCTATTGTTCCCGCGCTTAATTACTACTAACCTCTCTCTGCTATTGTTTTCTCACTGTTGTGCTTGTCTGTAGATTTGTGCCTCTTGTCTTTTTCCATTTTATGCATATTAGATTTTTGCAAATTGAGCTTGGAGAAAAGCGGTTTTGTTTAACTCTGTCTCCTGGAAATTCAATAGCTGAATAACTAGATTGTTTTCCTACTTGTGTTTGGGTGGCATCGTAATTGCCAGCTGGCTTATGTTCAAAGGCTAAGTTTTAATTTGAATGAATGAACGCCACAGTTATTACCCGGCTGAGAGAGCAGGAGATTGATGGGTTTGATGTCAGGTGCTCAGAAGTGCACAACCCTCAAATACATTTGCATCCAGTCTGTGATTAGAGTTACACAAACACTTTGGTCAAAGTTAGGAAAAGATTAAGATAAAGACCTTTACTTCAGTATTAAACCAAACCATGATCGTTCCTGAATCATGCTGTAGCCAACACA